GAAAGAATGTATGATAAAGTGAGCTAAAAATTTGGTTATAATATATAGATGGAACAATGGGAAAATATGTGATTGAAACGATTGAAATTTACATTACATTTACAAAATCTTAAAGAGAACTTTTATAGAATGATGTACCATTGGTATGTGACGCCAGAGAAATTGTCTAGAATGTATTAAGGCACTTCAAATTTATGTTGGAAATGTAAAAACAAGAAGGGTAATTTTATCATGCTTGGCGGATGTGTAAAAAAGCTAGAACATTTTGGATTCAAATACATACACTGATTGAAAGGATTTTAAAGACTGAGTTGTTGCCTTTGCTATTGCTATCCTAACAGCATAACGGTCAAGCTGTTTACCAGGCCTATTTAAGACAAAATACACAAAAGCCAGAACGCTAACTATCTTTACGCCCAATCTGATTACTTGTTCATCTGGCCTGTAAACATCCTGTTAATGCAATAGAAATCTGCTGGTAGGTGGTGACCAAACATTCCAAACTTTAGCCAAATTATTTCAGAGCAAACACCCCCATCCCACCCAAATCATTTTCATTTAATGCTTCCCTTACACAAATAGCCCAAAAGGAGTTCTGCCGATGTAGCACATGTTTCCACCTCAAACTTTTAAACATCATAAGTGGCTGCTAAAAATACATATACTTACTGCTAGGAACAGCATGCAATACATGGAGAATGACGAATGTCCAGAGTAAAATGACAGTCTGAAAAATAAGAAAGTGAGTATGCATTTGTTACTTTTTAGTATACAAGAATCTGCTCCTTAAAAAGAAAAGAAAAGAAAATGCAGAGCAAACATAATAGAATTCTTCATATCTCAGATGCAAAATCTGAATTTGGCAAAGTACACTGAGTAACCTTGGACAAGATGCTATTTCTCACACCTTCCTTAATATAAAATTGTGAAGAAAAATGCTCCCCTGAGTCCTTGAAAAAGAAGCCAGGGATATAAACCCATCCAAACAGAAGCAAGGAGAATACAGCAATAATGGTGTCTTTGTAGCTGGCATACAATTTGTAATCTCCATTCAAAATTAGATTTTAGCCTGAGTTCTTGTGCCTCATACTCTATCTGTACAGTTGTATTAACAGACTAAAATGTTCACCTATATATTGATCAATGTTTTAGACCTTTAAAACGCATTTATGTCAATTCTGCACCTGCCTTAAAGTCAGGCTTGTTTGCCCAATCAATTTTGAGAGTACTTAATCCACAATATAAATGATACAGCATTATTAAAACACAACTGTGAACAGCTTGGATATATCAGATTGCTCAATTTTTATACTGATCCTGTAACTTGAGGGGCTCAATTGGCTTTTGGGACTGTCATAAGGTTTGATTCCTAGCTGAGGCAAGGGGCGATCTTAACCTTGGAAAGCTAGACCTTATCATCTCTATATATGGACAGAAAGGATGAGTCTGACAGAAGAGCAAACGCTGTGCCTAAACACATTCATAGTAATGTTCCAGCCAGGGATTTCAGACTATTACAATTAGTCTTCTATTCTTGGATGCAGCGTTGCCAAAAGACACAGCTAATATAGCCTGACCTTTCAACATCAGAATGCACTACAGCATATTAGCTATACTTTCATGTTTCCAGCAGACAGATTACAGTCAACATCATGTCTCTCTTACATAGAGAACTTCAGAGAAAGTTATTAATGGTCCCCTAATTCCAGCTGGAAATACCTGTCCTTTATTAGCTTATCAGTCCCCTAGCTGTATTTATTTTCCTTCTCTCAATTGCTGCCTGCCCCATGGTTTTAATATTTTAAATGGAGACACAATAAAGAAACTGCTAAATGTTCCTCTACAACCCATTCTTCCAAAGGCAGCCTCAGAGTAGAACATTTTGTCCCTCCTGCCAGCCATTTATGTTCCAAACTCTTTTTCAGCATTTCTGCAGACAAACTCCTTCAGTATTTGCCCCTCCAGCCCTAGTTGATAAATAAGCAATCCACAATAACAAAGTGTCCCATCTCTGGAAACATCAAACCCTTATTTAGTTATATTTCCTCTTCCTCTCCCTTCATCATGTTGTTGAACTATTTAAATCATCCCAGTAGCAGATCATACATCAGGTCTCAGGAGCTTTTAGGATGTGCATTATTGTTTCATGACAACCACCTTTGCATATTTTTCTCCTGGAAGGATTTATTTCAACGAGTCAGATAATACAAGCCTAGAGTATAAATTTTATTTTGACTTCTCACTCTGGCCATTAACGGTAATGTTGATACTTCTTTCCAGAATAAACTATTTAAGTGTGAAGGCACAATTAATCCAAAGATACCAGGCTCCAAGGCTTTTTCTGGGTTCATCAAGAGAGAAACAATCTAGAAGAGATCTTTTCCGTGTTCACAAAACATACATGGCATACATCTATCCCATCAAGATAGTGGGAAGTCAGACTTGTAATGTTTTTTTAACATGCTTTAAACAATTCATCTATGAGATTTGCCTGCAATGTCTAAAGAAGTACAACAGACCTTTCACAAAGCCAATAGTACAACAATTTGGACACTAAAATGCCACGTTCTGTATTACAAAAAAAAATCAGGCAACATATATTCTGATCATGAATGCAACCAAAATATGTTAACCTTTTTAGCTCATTATTACAAAATCATATTTTACACCACTGAAAGTTAACTCAAACAGGCACCCTGAGTAGAATGAAGGATCTTAAAAGGAAGAAGACTTGAGCTGGAGTGTTTAAGCCACAAGAGAAGATGAGGCAAATAAGGAGCATGTACCAAATTATGCAGCAAAATCTCCAGATTTGCTCAAGTATCAAGTCTAGGCCAGTTGCACTTATGACAACTGTTCCCATGCAATATCTGTTTTCAAATTCTAAGTGTGTCCAATTCAAATTTTAAAAAGTCTTAGGAATGATTTTTAAAATGTGGCCCTTTGATAATGGTAACTCAATATAATGCTGAAAACGTTCAGAAAAATAAGAAAGAAAGCATTCATAAATACTGGCTTATAAGCAGAAGCTACACTCACAAACAACTGATTGTCCTCCATAGCTGTGAGGGTGCAATTTCCCTCATGTACCCAAAGCAGTTTAAATCTGTTGTTTCTTCTTCTCACCTGTCCCACATTTCAAAAGACTCTTTACTTTGTGTTTCATAGCTGTTAAAGTTGGGCAGCTGTTGATTATTGACATAACTGACATCTCTGCTCTAGGAACTGCTGTCTCTCAGCATATTACTAAGTTACCCAGAGCAACTGAAGTCAGATGAGACCAAAAATGAACCACAAGATTTACGTACAATATCTACAATGAGTAGTCAAGATTGTAGGAAAAGTAAAAGGTAACACACATTCTCTGGAGGCTTAAGCATTTGCTAGTATCTTCTGGGAAACATCCTCATAATTCTGACTTGATTCCAGGCATCACAGATACTGCTACTAGCAACTCCCAGGAAGCAGCATCCAGGATCAAGTATTTGGCATGTTCAACTTCTTGACATAAATGTGGGCCTTATGTAAGTAAAGCCAAACAGTAAGGCAGTAACAAGCTCTATACCATGTAATAAAATTGGATAAGAATCCATATTTTTCTTACTCTCATAAAATCAGTAAAATTGATCAAAAGTTGATCCAAGCATTTATTTATGTAAACATTATTTTTTAGGCCTGCTGCCACAACTTTTGTTAATGACCACTACTTTAAACTGGTTTGAAAGTGGATCAGACAAATTAATGGAGAGGTCTACCAACAACTACTGTATGTAGAACAATCTTCCTCCACTTGGGCCCCTCCATATTCTACTGGATAGCAAGTCCCATCATTCTAAGGCAGCATATCCATCAACTATGCTGGCTGGGGATTCTGGGAATTGTAGTCCATCTGAAAGACATCAGGTTGGGGAATGCTAGATTTATGCAACATGTCCTTGTTGAGGCAACTTATGTTTAGTTTTGCCATATACCGAAAATACCACAACTTCTAAAACAGTGTGAAGAAAGAGACTGATTCAACCCAGTATGCAACTCTCTTTTAAATGAAACATGAATGACAAGAGGATAAGATCGTCAGATTTTCAGAGTTACTGCATGCTTTAACAAGTCATTTATTCTGGAAAAGAACAAAGTGCATAGCATATTTGGTGCATAAAACATTAGAACAAACCATCTTGCAAAGTGCAACCAAGACACTCCTGAAAACGGCTCTTCAAAATATGGCAAGCTAAGAGGAGTGCATTTTTTCAGTTTTGCCACAACTGCTTTCTTAAAGTCACCTTTTGTATCCATATTATACTCCCTCGTCATATGCTGCACCCACAGGTCCAGAGAAAAGTAAATATAGCAGATGGTATTTGGCAACAAGAGAGTACTTCATAAAGACCGAAAAACAGTTTTGCATCAGTGAAGTGAAGTTACACTGACAGTTTAAACCTAATATTCCAGTACTCAACCACAACACTTTAGAAGGGTTTGGTTTCAACATCTATTCTTCTTGCAGGTGTCCAAGAGGATTTCTTATTTCCTGACAGCACTGAAATAAAGCTCCTGCTTGTAAAAGAAATTTTTAGCAAATGCCTACACCCATTACTTCCCTTGAAATTCCTCCATCGATCACACCGAGAAGCTCTTTGGAGATGACTGTCAGGGGACTGATGAACTGCAAAACTAATAATTTTCTGAACCTGCTCAGCATAGAATAAAATTATGATCACATCCCCCCACACTCAATAGTAAGCATAACTCATATTTATAAAAACTCAAAAGGTTTATAATTAGGGGTATGTCTTGCACACCCTTTAGCAGAGATACCATCAAGAGCTGCACTTGAAATGGAAATCCCATTATTGTATCACAATGGGATTACTAAATACAGGAAGAAAATGCTGTATTTCTTCCAGGATTTATTTATTTATTTAATTTTTCAACTGCCCATCTCCCCCCATTGGGGGAACTCTGGGTGATTCACAACAGACATTAAAAACATAAATATATATAAATACATAAAACATTAATTAAAAACATTACTAAAAAG